ATTATTATTCAAATAATACGCTAGAGACCAAATTGAAATCTGTACGTGATACTTTACTAAAAGACAGGTATCCACCTAGTTTTGTTCACAGAAACATAAGAAAAAAACGACACCAATGGTGATCACAGCTGTTCCTATAAGCAACTTCCTTTATGAACCTGTGGTTCTAGGAGTTATATTGAAGCAGGATTTCTTAAAAATCGTCTTCACGATTTTCGGAAAAGACATTTCACGTAACCATTTTGAGAAATATATTCTCCAACAGGCATCTGATACGGTCATGAGATTAGGAAAACGTGCCGCTTCTGGCTACCTTACAGTGTAATTATCACTTTACTTATTCCCGTGAAATGAAACATATCGACCATACACTTAAAATGGAACACTGTTCAGACTGATTAACCAGTGGAAAAGACACGAATGCCAAATTTCTGTCATCAAGCACCTTTTCAAACCCGAACATCGAGAACCTCCAGCATGATTGCTTCACAGTACTACACAGAGTTCCCCAATATCGCACGAAAGGGCTTTGAATACGCCATTTATACGTTGTTGGATCATTGGCTATTCAAAACAAATGCATACGCTTACTCGCTTTATCATGGCCACGGTAATTTGTTCCCACAACTTTGTCTTATTTTATTGTTTGATTTCCTGGTTTATCATTATTGTTATTACTTTACAGCTATTAGCATTATTATTGCTGTCTAGGCAGATTACCATATTCACGCAGGCTTTTGTACAGTTAGTACATTCATACTGATTGTCACTTTTCGCACTTGTTACGTAATGTCAACCTCAATTTTTGAATATCCGCTAGCACACGCATCATACTACGTAAGATTTGTTTAGGACATATTTACCTATTTCTAATTGCTTGTATGAATCCTCCAACGAATATAAGTAGCCACTGTACAACTTTTGAAAACTCATCCGTCAAAAGAGAGAATTCCATCGATGTCAAATCTTTTTATTGTTTCTGTCAATGCTTCTTCAAAAAAATGCTTGAAATAAAATTGCCGAAAAAGCACAAATGAGGTTAAGATTGTATCACCAATCTCCTTTCTTTTCCCAATAACCAGGCACATTGTCTCTAAAGATTAACAAACGATAAGTCTTTATTTCCCAATCAATGACGCAACAGAAGTCGCCTTTTTTAGTGTCAGTGTATCTTACATAATTGTAGCAGTGACAAAATAGTAGTGAATAATTATTATCAAGGTCATTTTCGTGTAAATATCACCTTAAAATGTTGTAATTTCATTCGAAAAAAAACAATACCACTTCGAAATGGATAAATCATTATTAACCTAGGGAAATTAATGAAATGAGAAATAGAAAGTCAAAGATATTACTACATCACAGCTTAACATAACAAAAATATAAATAAAACTGAATTCTATACTTTAAAACATTTTTAGAGGATTTTCACAATTCCAAATATTGAAGGTGTTAAAGAAAGTAACAGAGTGATTATGAGCTTAACGGACATTACAAGAATGATAAATAAACCTCGGGGTTAGTTTGATTAAAAAAGTAAATGAAAGAGAAAGAAAAACTAAACAAAATAGAATAAAGAAACTGCAACTAGTGAATGTTAAATCTTACGGAGACATTCTACTACAAGCAGATATGGATGCCACCTACTGATGGTTTAGAACAATATTTATGTCAGATAGGTGAATTGCACGAAAAGAAGAATTAGGGCACTAGCTTAGGACAAAAATATAACCAAACCAACTCAAATTCTCCAAGTGTAATAATAACATTTTCTGATATTTCATTTTTATTCGCAAAGCTTTTAACTTCACCAAAGTTAAACAACAGCGTCTGAAAGGATGCGAACACATGAGTGACCTTGAGCCGAAAAACCATAAAAATAAGTTACTTTTGCACAAAAATGACGCTTACTTATGAGAAAATGCAGGAAAGCACATTAAACAGGGTATCTTCATCTGACATGACTTGAAAATACGTTCTAGTTATAGTGAGGAGTATCAATTTTTATGTTAGAACAGTTTCTGCATATGTGTTTTTACCGGGGTGGCCGAAGATGAGCTTTTTTGTGTGACCCGTTTATTGCTCTTATCGTGTTCTGCAGTCTCACCCAACTGTATACAACGTCAATTATTGCTTGCATGTTATTTTCAGCGAGCCCGAATTTAAATATAAAATACACAGCAGTCCGTTTAATCACGATGAAAACGGCAATCATTACTGAAGACTAGATGCTAATTCTCACTGTTTTAGTGGATTTTTTTAACTGAAGGCTTCCGGTCAAGCATCCACGCCATTTGGCACGCCGTCATGTTACGTTCGTTCGTTTGTGCACGATCCCCAGCTAGTTAATCAATCATCTCGTGCTCCAACTTGGTCTTGAAATATAATTCGTAATTCGGACGATCAATTCTGGTGTTTTACTTTGTTTTTGGTCCACGAGTAACGAATACTTTAGAAGTTTTGGGTATTAGATATTGCATTACTATACCTCTTCGTACCACACATGAACGTCAACGCCCCTAGCCTCTAAAGAGTTATCGGTACACCTTAAACCCTATTTTTGTATAAAAATACTTTTTCACTGAATCTGTGTTCCTTCTGTTGTAATGCGATTGTGTTTCAGTAACATTAATAACACTTGCTATAGTGGGAATTAAGGGTTATCTATGAGGAATTAATGTGGAGTCTGAAAAACTTTTGTTGATGTGATTAGATAAACAGATAGTACGTGTTCTGTGGCTGCGAACCGTAGGCATTTTGTTTTAGAATAATATCGTTACTGTAGTTGTAATGAATTATGCTCCTATTGGTAATCCTTTCCTCATGGTACATTAAGACATCTAGAAATCACAAGTGAGCCTTCTCAGGTAGATTTATTTCCACTTCGTGACTATGAAGTGTGAGTCAGTTAATGTGTTCTGCTAAGAAGATAGATAACTCCAAACGCTTTATTATCTCGATACCTTCTTTGGGATGTGGAAATAATTACTTTATTTGACTGTAGCACAATCTTTCTACTAATAAACTTCTCCAAATACCTAATTTTACTTAGTATTTCAAGGACAACCGCACATACTCTGTACCTCACAACTTACGCAAAGGCTAATTTTCAGTCTTATCAAGTAGAACATACAAAGTGCTAACGAGGAATACATTTAACACGTAATACAAAACCAATGATACTGTGGAAATCTTTTTCTTCAGCACTAAACTCCATGAAATTCCCGAAAGTCCCAAGTATACTATAATACTGAAGTAAATCTCCTTAATTCTGGCTACGTAGTCATTATCTGAGAAAAAAAACAAGGATCCAATAGATGTGGACATTTTTACCACCACAAATACAAAATTCAACTGCTAGAAAATACTAAATAATGTGTTAAATTGTGCACAGTTACATAAGTCTGTGATTTCAATCAGAGAAAATGGACATTGCATCTGTCTGCAAACATTGAGTCCACACGGTAAGGCAAGCAAATGATACGTGTACATAAATGCTGGATATTTTGGTTGATTTTCCTTGAAAAGTTGCACGTAGAGGGGCTTTGAGACTAACAGCAAAGGCAGACAACAAAGAAAGTGAAAATAATCAACAAAATGAACTAACTTCCTCATTATGTCGATGTTTAATCCTTCAGAAGGACAAAGAACATCATCAGAAGCCGTAGTAACGTGTTCCTTTAAGTACCTTGGCATTTTTTAAATGAAATAGTGAGTATTTCAACTATTTGTAAGCTGGCCATTATTTACGGCCGGCTAAGAGCACACTGTTGCTATTTGTGTCAAAAAAAACTCCATCCCATCGCCTTTAAGCAGGCATACAAGCATAAAAGTGTGAAACGCAATGCATTCTTACCAAAGTCTAAGGTATCTCCAATAAATGTAGTGTGTACACACCAACTGATCATACGAACTATAGCTGTTTACAGGCTGTCCTACTGTGTAACTTAGCCAAAATTTATTGTATATTGTATATATTATATACACGATACTAAGTGTTGGAGTTGCATGAAGAGGCAAAAGTGAAAAATTCAGGAATTGTATTATTACCTAAACTGAACCTCTAAAGTGTGCGGACAAAACCTAAAAGCGCTTAACCGCGCAACGTAAAACAAAACCAGTCAAAAACCACTGTTCAATTGCACAGTGGTAAGTACACATATATTCAGTTCCTATAAAAGACTAATATGCGTGTATGAGTTTGTTGCGAAATTGTTTGGTAACAGCTAAAGGGGGGGACACAAACTAGGACTTGGAAGAGTGGCCACATACCCTTAACGTCCTCATCGGAACTCACAGTTACCCTTGGTGTAGGTTGGTGTATCTTGAGGTGCATGAGCATCATTGCACAGCCTAATTAAGTTTTCAAACAGGATGTTTACTCTTAGTATTTTGTGTAGCATTACACAGTTTCGTTTTCACTCCCCCACGTTACTAGCGGAACATAAGAATTCAGTCATTGATATTTCAGTAGTGTTGGAGTGGTTTTAACGGGTTGGGGTAGTTTGCCTCATGCCTAACCTTCTTTTTCTGAGCTAAGGACTGTCCAGTAAAGTAGGCGACGTTTGGTAGCGTGCTGTATGACAGACAAACCTTTCGAGTTGCTCACGTGCATCTTACTATTTAACCGGTACCACTGTCAGCATCATTAGTGCTGATGTTGCAGTGAAGTTACAATAACACTACAGTGCACCAAGTGTTGCTTGTGTGGTGTAATATTTTAACAATATATTTTTCTTTGAAATAATTTTAACTGGAGTAATTTCAAACCATTTTTACAGACACGACTGAAAATACGTTATAGCTTCTGTCAATGGAGTTGAAGATTGAACGATCAATTCTTGGTTGTTTGCTCAAAACCAACTTCCCCAATTTTCGCGGAGGCATCAATACGACAGTCATCGTCTCATCGGTCGCTGTTCAGAAAGAAGAGTAAAACATCGCCAGAAGTAATATTGTGATTTATTATTGTAATATTTGTTCACAGACCTTAGTTCACTCTTGCGCTACGGGTGTTCACTTTCTGCGTGAATCATCTTTCCTTAATATTTTGGAAATTAGCCGCTTTCATCACATTATCCAGTTATCCATAGTCAACAAGGATTGTATTGTATCAACTGGAACAACATATAGCATTCACTCGTGAAATCTACGTCAAGAATCCTCGGATACCATATCTAACTACGTGGAACTCAGGACTTTATCCACAGCAAACTCTGTAAAGGAAAGTCTGACTTTTTATTTTTGCAATATAAATCTGTTTATCGTTGTTGTTTTGATACTTCGATAATACAGCTATCTTATTTTCATATCCTCAAGACTTTTTTTCCGGAAATTGTGAAGTTTCTTATTTCTGTAATGGTTAAGTCTATCAAACGTGTAAGTACCGTTAAGAGACTGAGATCTAATACTAGTCAGCCATCTGAAGGCCTCAGCTCCGTTGACAATTCTACACTGTTTACACCAGCCATACCCAGAGTTATGGTATCTGATATCATGGAGGAATTAGCAGAGAATGCGGCTTGTAGCAAAAATGATTTACTGACACTTCAGAAGTCAATAGCAGAACTACAGAGCAAGTTTGACAGCATTATGCCTCTCACGCAACTGTGTGACCCACCACAAAACATCTGTTTTGAATCACTAATCAAATCCGAGCGCATAATTGACTATTTGGCTGAAGAAGCTGTTAAGAGGATTATGTCTTCACATAACGTCTTGGCCTATAACATTCCAGACAGAGAGCCGATTGCCAAACTTAAGAATTCGTGTCTAAAGGCTTGTAATATGTCGTTGACAGAATGTCAGGTTTTGCGTCTTCGTAAGAAATCTGCAAACCACCCGTGTCCTGTGCTTTTCAAGTTTAGGTCTACCGAAGAAGCCAGGAATTTTCTGAAATCGGGTAAGAAAATAGGCTCTTCAACACCATACACTAACATTAGGGTTGCACCTGATTTAACACCATGCCAAAGGCGATGCCGCTCAGGAACAGTGAACCCTGATAACTCTAATAGGATAACTGTAGATGATGTTCCGTGCGTTATTCCGTCTATTGAAATATCTGATCACGGCATGCAACAGACATTTTCGCAGGTAGTGGCTAATGTTAGCCAAGCATTATATAACGATATTGATGCAGACACTGAAATGGTGGACATAGATGAGTCAACGGGAAATAATGTTGAAATACATCGTTTTCACACTGACGCAAAAGTCAAGACACCGAAACCATCAAAACCCATCCCACTGGTGGTCCAACCATTGCCTTATAAGTCAGTTACTCCTCTGTCTGACAATCCACACTCTGTAAAGCACCAGTCGAATGTAGCCACCCAAGTTGGCAAGTTTTCTAGGCGTTATGACAAACGTCCCATTTCCATTAAGAAAACTAAAGCTCATGAGGTGTTCAAGCCACAGAAACCCTACATAGCATGTGCTGACTGCCCTGTTAGCCATCATCAGCCAGATAATCATAAGATAGGGGAAAAAGAAGTAAATAAATTAAATACTAAACCCGGAGCAAGAAAGCTCTTTGATAAGAAAGAGACGAAAGCACCTGTAGGCCTTCTTTGTAAGAGAAAGTCAAATATGGTAGACGAAGCTCCTAGGGGTAGGCCTAATTGGTGCCAAGTGGAAAGCCAATTTTATCGAATCCCTAATTCTAGACAAACAGCACAGCAAAGTAGTAGGTATTGTTCTGCACATCCACTACGTAAACCCCTTGTCAACCAGCCCACTTCTAATATTCTGTCTACTGAAAGTTATAGAAAATACCCCAAACATCGGCCACAGACCACATTTAGCAAGCCAACAGAACCCATTCATATATCTTATGTGTCTAGTGGGGAGCATGTGCCGATTTCTGCACAAAACTTGCCATGGTCTGATGAATACCAGAAACAGATACCAACACTTCATTCTTATACTGGCAACAAATTACCGAATACACATATCGGTTATACCTTAGGGCAGGATTTTCACCAGCGTCAGTTAACAGAAACACCTGGAATCATGCATATAGCACGCATGATATCGGATCAATTCCTTGCTGGCATAGCGAACAGTCTACAGCTAGGGCAAGGCATATTTCCCGGGAGATAGCTGACACAGTGTCGACACCAAACGCGGATACTAATATCTCTAAAATATTAATATCTGATTATCACACAGGTGTCTCTCACTGCATACCATATCCAAACGTAAGCCCATCCCTGACTACCACCTCAAAAATCTACCTGAAGTCTTCCTACGATCCAAAGATATTGGTAAATGAGTCTGATAACATGTATATAGAGGATACTCACGGATTATTTTACCAAGATGTTGTCCGCTCACTGAAACCACATAGCCAGTGTTTATCTATTATCCTAGTAAATACGAGATCAGTTCTAAGCAAACATTTAGCACTAAGTACAATAGCTTCTATATGCAGACCGTCATTGATTATGATCACCGAAGCCTGGTGCACAAGTGAAATCTCCAATGACAGCCTAAGGATTGATAAATACAACCTTTTTCGCGGGGACAGACGGACAGGTCGTGGGGGTGGAACACTAATTTACTGTGAACAATCCATGTGTGCAACCCAGTTTAGTAACCCAATTCTGTCACAACTCAATGACTCGATCTGGGTCGAAATAAAAGTTGTCAGAAGTAAACCTATACTTGTGGGTTGTGTGTACCGGCCCCCTTCATCCAGCAGGGAATATGATAATATGCTTAGCAATATCTTTAATGTTACAGCCAATCTTCCTTTCAGTTATAAAATTATCGGAGGCGATTTCAACTTGCCAGAAGTATCATGGTCTTCACTCCGAGGACCCCAAAGGTACGATAATCTCATAAATTCCATCGTCACAGGAGGGTGGACACAACACATAAATTCACCCACTAGATCCGCAAATATCCTAGACCTTATTTTCACGAACAACATAACGCCATCTACCGTACATGTTGGACATGAATTTCCAGGTAGTGACCATAGAATAGTAGTTTGTTCTTTTGACATCTTTCCTGAAACAAAACGCAGAGATGAAGCTGGCCAGATACCTATGAGATTGTACACACATGCTGACTGGGACTTGTATCAGCACCTAATTAGATGTTCTAATTGGGACTCGTACTTTTCGAACCAGTCCTTAGATGCAATTCTTAACAACTTCTATCAGAATATTAACTCAATTCACGACGTCATTGCACCCGAGAAGATTCTTAACTTCAGATTCCCCCAAAGTGATTATATTCCGACATCGTTTAGAAGAAGTCTACGTAAGCACTCAATAAAATACTACAGATATCATGACTTATCGTCATTAATTGCCATAACGTCCCTTCTCAGTAGAATTGAAGAGTTGAGAAATATAGGCCTCAGAAACAAAGAAATGCAGGCCATTCATGCACCGCATAACTCAGGAGAAATAGCCAAACTTTTTAAAAGTAGGTTGATGAACTCCAAAACACCCTATCCGAAAATAATATACTTAGACGGCATTGCTTACGAAAATAATGAGGCGATATGTGAACTGTTTAGCAAGCACTTCGCCAGATTATACACCTTAGAGAACGATGAAGTCGTGGATTTCCCACGTAAAACAGACGAATGTTTAAGTGACATAATTTTCACCACACATGAGATCGATAAAGCTGTCGCAAATCTTAAGCTTAGTAACACTACTGGCCCAGACGGTATATCTTCCGTTCTGCTGAAAAAAGGTGGTAATGACATGAGTTTACTCTTACTCAAGTTATACTCAATTTCATTAAGCGATGGGACATACCCTAACTGCTGGAAGAAGTCTTATATTGTACCTATCCATAAATACGGGCCTATAGCTGATATCAACAACTACCGCCCCATCAACATCACGTCTGTAGTTTCACGTGTAATGGAAAAGATAGTTAAGACTCAAATCATTCAGTACTTGCTGTCAAATGACCTACTATCCCCATCCCAATACGGTTTCTTAAGTAGAAGGTCGTGCATTACTTGCCACTTAGATTATTTTGACTACATCACACAAAGCATTGATAATGGGCGTTCGGTAACAACATTGTTTCTTGACGTTAGCAAGGCCTTCGATAAAGTCCCACATATCAGACTCCTAACAAAACTCCAATCCTACGGAATAACCGGAAATCTTCACAAATGGATAAGTTCTTTTCTCACAGAAAGAGAGCAATTAGTCAAAATCAACCACCAGTTGTCTTCCTCAAAGCCGATAACCAGTGGTGTAATACAAGGTAGTGTTCTTGGCCCTATTCTATTCCTCTTATTTATAAATGACATAGTCTCTGTAATCAAGTATGGCAAGCCATACCTTTTTGCAGATGATCTCAAGATAGTATATGATTATGGGTACGGTGATATGAGCGTCGAAAGCAAGATCCAACAAGACTTAAATGATCTAGGCGATTGGAGCGAAAAGTGGCAACTGACTTTCAACCCAGACAAGTGCGGTATAACCCACCTTGGACGCTGGAAACCGATAATGTGCCTATATATGTACGGTAAGCTCCTCTCAAAACTGAACACAGTCACAGACCTCGGGATAACATACTCAGATTTATCCTTTTCCGATCATGCAAATAAGGTTGTATCTGACTGTAAACGACTTACTGGCTTTGTACTGCGTAACTTCTACACCCAAGAAGCAAGATTAGCTATATATAGGACATGTATCCGTCCCAAACTTGAATATTGTGCTCTCCTATTTAGTAACCTCAGGACTGTAGACAGAAAAAAAATCGAAAGTGTCCAGAGATTCCTCACGAAACGCATAATAGGGTTCGACCAACAAGTGGAATATGTTGACAGGTGTGTACGTCTGAAATTAGAGCCTCTGTGGTTAAGGAGAGTGAAGTGCAACCTATTTCTACTCTTCAAAGTCATTAGGAAACACTGCTACAGTAACTCATCCATAACTTGGGAAAATATTAAATCATATCAGCTGCGAAACCACGACTACCTTGTCAAGGTGGCTACCCACAGAAAATCCATTAGGGCAAACTTTTTCACCATAAAATATTGCACTCTTTGGAACCAACTACCACCTGAAATAAGATGTTGTGAAAACCCTGATGGGTTCAAACGGAGCCTAGAAAGACACTTTAACATGTCCACCCTAGCTCGTCTAAAAGACCACAACTGTTGGTAGAACGGAAATTGAAGGCCAGTCCAGTCTTCAGTATAGTCACATACGTATATCTCGACTCTAATACTCACGCAGCGAACGTTAACTAATTTACTGATTTCTATTCTCTATAATTTTCACTAAGTTGTGTTGGTAAAAGTAACACTGGAAATAATTGTAATAGCATCCACACCTTTTAACGTTTTACATATGTATATACTAATATAATAATACTTATTAATCATGCATGTTCAATTCTTAAATTAGATGGATATTAAAATACTTAAAATATTTATGCATCAAATGTTCTCTTGCTTTACCACGCTTGTTTCCCTTATAACACTCAATTATTGAACCTAGTGTAATATTTGATATACGAACTATATTATTGATTATACTCTTATCATATATGGTTTGATTTACTCTACGGCTCCCTGTAGACTAACCACCATTCTTCAGTATACACACACTGCAGTATTGTTAAAAAATGCCAAAATTTCGTTGGTTCTGTGTTAATATCTTTTTATAATATGTCTAGACACGTTACTTTGCAATGTCAGATGTTTACTATATATAAGACTGTCATGAAAATTTAGTACACTAAGTCCTGCCAACCGACCTTACCTTCAGTCCATACTACCTAAATTGAACCTTAACTATAGTATTCTGCTAAATCTTGCTCCACTATTCACAATACCTATTCGTTTTACTCTTTAAGGTTTTAACTTCTTATAAAGTAATCTGTTCATCAGGATGCATGCACACATATATAATATGTTCGTAAAGATGTACGTGGAGACCTATTGGAAGCACTCATTAAGAAAGCTAGGGAGATGGAATATGGGGTACGAACATGTCTGGTACCAAGCAATATATTTGCGGTAGCCATAATAATCATAGTCTCAGAGCCTAACATCAAAAAAGGAGGGAGGGTGGCGCTAGCTGATCAGTAGATATGGTGGTGGTCACTAAGGTGAATCGCCCCATTCTGCAGGAACAGCAATATACAAATTAAAGGCTCGAGATATTTCTGATTTTTATGAGGGCTTAGATCTTTATCTTGAAAAAGATAATAGTGAACGCCTTGACAGATAATGCTTCTACCTTTAAATATATACCATTCGCTCAGCCTATTGTTGAGATGCGACCACGTGGGATCTGCACAGATTTATGGGGCATCTTATAAATTAACTTGCTATCCATTGTCAGATCTTTAAATACCACTTCACAATATCTTGTCTCACTTATTTTCTAATAACGTCTTTACTTGATTCTCATTATATTCCATTAAACCTAACATTTTATAGCTCTTTATGAATTTGATTCGACTTATTCTATTCCTATTCTCTGGAGGGTACGGTTGTGCACCAAATAGAAAAAAAGACATGAAATAAAAACAACTGGCTTGAAAATAATTGTATTAAAGCCAAAAGTGGACATCATGATAGTATAAAATATATTGGTTTCATTATACATTGCAAATGAACGTTGTCGGCCTAAGGATTAATTACTTCCCCATTCTGTTTTCTATATAAATGTGTTTATTAATGATATATTTCACTCACTTAATCTATTACACTTTAATGTTTCACCTCAGCACTTTAATTTTTCTAAAACAGCTTCCAATTCCTTGTAAACGTTGTACTTACCTCAATATTGGTTGGTTATCGTATGCCTACAACCACGGGATGAAAACGAAACGAAGTCGATTTTCCCGCTCAACCTGGAGGACAACTGTACAATTCAATAACTATACGGCCTAGTTCAGACAATGAGTATATATATATATATCAAATATTTAACTGTTGAAACATTATTAACTTGTAGACAATTTAAGATTTGACATTATATCATCCTTGATCGTGCCTGTAAAAATGGCATGCATTTTCATGTAAATTTATGTTTATATGAAAATAAATTATTATTATTCCTTTTATATGTTGGTGTAACAATAAAGAAGTCTCAAGCGGC